CCCTGTTTATTCCCTCTTTTTCCCTGTTTATTCCCTCTTCATTCCCTTTTATTCCCCTCATTCCCCTTTTTATTCCCCCTTTATTCCCTTTTTTATTCCCTCCTCATTCCCTCTTTATTCCCTCTCCATTCCCTGTTTATTCCCTCTTTATTCCCCCTCTATTCCCTGTTATTCCCTGTGTTATTCCCTCTCTATTCCCTGTTATTCCTCCTTCATTCCCTGTTATTCCCTGTTTATTCCCCCTCTATTCCCTCTCCATTCCCTGTGTTATTCCCACTCCATTCCCTGTTATTCCCACTATCATTCCCTGTTTATTCCCCCTCTATTCCATGTTATTCCCTGTTATTCCCTCTCCATTCCCTGGTTATTCCCTCTTTATTCCCTCTCCATTCCCTGTTATTCCCTCTTATTCCCTGTTTATTCCCCCTCATTCCCTCTGTTATTCCCTGTTTTATTCCCTCCTCTTTCCCCTGTTATTCCCCCTCTATCATTCCCTGTTTTCCCTTTCATTCCCCCTCCATTCCCACTTCATTCCCTATTTATTCCCTCTCCATTCCCTGTGAGCATCCCTGCCCCATAGCCCCATAGATGGGAGCATCCCTGCCCCATAGCCCCATAGATGGGAGCATCCCTGCCCCATAGCCCCATAGATGGGAGCATCCCTGCCCCATAGCCCCCTAGATGGGAGCATCCCTGCCCTTAGCCATGGGAGCCCCCGCCCCATAGATGGGAGCATCCCTGCCCCATAGCCCCATAGATGGGAGCATCCCTGCCCCATAGCCCCATAGATGGGAGCATCCCTGCCCCATAGCCCCATAGATGGGAGCATCCCTGCCCCATAGCCCCATAGATGGGAGCATCCCTGCCCCATAGCCCCATAGATGGGAGCATCCCTGCCCCATAGCCCCATAGATGGGAGCATCCCTGCCCCATAGCCCCATAGATGGGAGCATCCCTGCCCCATAGCCCCATAGATGGGAGCATCCCTGCCCCATAGCCCCATAGATGGGAGCATCCCTGCCCCATAGCCCCATAGATGGGAGCATCCCTGCCCCATAGCCCCATAGATGGGAGCATCCCTGCCCCATAGCCCCATAGATGGGAGCATCCCTGCCCCATAGCCCCATAGATGGGAGCATCCCTGCCCCATAGCCCCATAGATGGGAGCATCCCTGCCCCATAGCCCCATAGATGGGAGCATCCCTGCCCCATAGCCCCATAGATGGGAGCATCCCTGCCCCATAGCCCCATAGATGGGAGCATCCCTGCCCCATAGCCCCATAGATGGGAGCATCCCTGCCCCATATCCCAGAGCATCCCTGCCCCATATCCCAGAGCATCCCTGCCCCATAGCCCCATAGATGGGAGCATCCCTGCCCCATAGCCCCATAGATGGGAGCATCCCTGCCCCATAGCCCCATAGATGGGAGCATCCCTGCCCCATAGCCCCATAGATGGGAGCATCCCTGCCCCATAGCCCCATAGATGGAAGGATCCCTGCCCCATAGCCCCATAGATGGGAGCATCCCTGCCCCATAGCCCCATGGATGGGAGCATCCTGCCCCATAGATGAGAGCATCCCTGCCCCATAGCCCCATAGATGGCAGCATCCCTGCCCCATAGCCCCATAGATGGGAGCATCCCTGCCCCATAGCCCCATAGATGGGAGCATCCCTGCCCCATAGCCCCATAGATGGGAGCATCCCTGCCCCATAGCCCCATAGATGGGAGCATCCCTGCCCCATAGCCCCATAGATGGGAGCATCCCTGCCCCATAGCCCCATAGATGGGAGCATCCCTGCCCCATAGCCCCATAGATGGGAGCATCCCTGCCCCATAGCCCCATAGATGGGAGCATCCCTGCCCCATAGCCCCATAGATGGGAACATCCCTGCCCCATAGCCCCATAGATGGGAGCATCCCTGCCCCATAGATGGGAGCATCCCTGCCCCATAGTCCCATAGATGGGAGCATCCCTGCCCCATAGCCCCATAGATGGGATAGCATCCCTGCCCCATAGCATCCCTGCCCCATAGCCCCATAGATGGGAGCATCCCTGCCCCATAGCCCCATAGATGGGAGCATCCCTGCCCCATAGCCCCATAGATGGGAGCATCCCTGCCCCATAGCCCCATAGATGGGAGCATCCCTGCCCCATAGCCCCTGCCCCATAGATGGGAGCATCCCTGCCCCATAGCCCCATGGGAGCATCCCTGCCCCATAGCCCCATAGATGGGAGCATCCCTGCCCCATAGCCCCATAGATGGGAGCATCCCTGCCCCATAGCCCCCATAGATGGGAGCATCCCTGCCCCATAGCCCCATAGATGGGAGCATCCCTGCCCCATAGCACCCATAGATGGGAGCATCCCTGCCCCATAGCCCCATAGATGGGAGCATCCCTGCCCCATGGATTCCATAGATGGGAGCATCCCTGCCCCATAGCCCCATAGATGGGAGCATCCATGCCCCATAGCCCCCATAGCCCCATAGCTCCATAGAGCATCCCTGCCCCATAGCCCCATAGATGGGAGCATCCCTGCCCCATAGCCCCATAGATGGGAGCATCCCTGCCCCATAGCCCCCATAGATGGGAGCATCCCTGCCCCATAGCCCCATAGATGGGAGCATCCCTGCCCCATAGCCCCATAGATGGGAGCATCCCTGCCCCATAGCCCCATAGATGGGAGCATCCCTGCCCCATAGCACCCATAGATGGGAGCATCCCTGCCCCATAGCCCCATAGATGGGAGCATCCCTGCCCCATAGCCCCATAGATGGGAGCATCCCTGCCCCATAGCCCCATAGCTGGGAGCATCCCTGCCCCATAGCCCCATAGATGGGAGCATCCCTGCCCCATAGCCCCATAGATGGGAGCATCCCTGCCCCATAGCCCCATAGATGGGAGCATCCCTGCCCCATAGCCCCATAGATGGGAGCATCCCTGCCCCATAGCCCCATAGATGGGAGCATCCCTGCCCCATAGCCCCCATAGATGGGAGCATCCCTGCCCCATAGCCCCATAGATGGGAGCATCCCTGCCCCATAGCCCCATAGATGAGAGCATCCCTGCCCCATAGCCCCATAGATGGGAGCATCCCTGCCCCATAGCCCCCATAGATGGGAGCATCCCTGCCCCATAGCCCCATAGATGGGAGCATCCCTGCCCCATAGCCCCATAGATGGGAGCATCCCTGCCCCATAGACCCCATAGATGTCTCCCTGCCCCATCGCCCCATAGATGGGAGCATCCCTGCCCCATAGCCCCATAGATGGGAGCATCCCTGCCCCATAGCCCCATAGATTGGAGCATCCCTGCCCCATAGATGGGTCCCTGCCCCATAGCCCCATAGATGGGAGCATCCCTGCCCCATAGCCCCCATAGATGGGAGCATCCCTGCCCCATAGCCCCATAGATGGGTCCCTGCCCCATAGCCCCATAGATGGGAGCATCCCTGCCCCATAGCCCCATAGATGGCAGCATCCCTGCCCCATAGCCCCCATAGATGGCAGCATCCCTGCCCCATAGATGGGAGCATCCCTGCCCCATAGCCCCATAGATGGGAGCATCCCTGCCCCATAGCCCCATAGATGGCAGCATCCCTGCCCCATAGATGGGAGCATCCCTGCCCCATAGCTCCTTTGCCTTGCAGGTGCCATCCCATCGGGAAGACGGCGTCGGGATGCGGGGGGCCCCCTCGCTGCTCCCCAACCCCTCGGCCCCATCGCCGGAGCTGAACCCCCCCCAGGATCCCTATAGGGGTGAGTGGGACCCCTATGGGATGGAGGGGTGGGAAGGGGCACCCCATAGAGCATCCCATAGAGCATCCCATAGAGCATCCCATAGAGCATCCCATAGATCATCCCATAGAGCATCCCATAGGGCATCCCATAGAGCATCCCATAGAGCATCCCATAGGGCACCCCATGGAGCATCCCATAGAGCATCCCATGGAGCATCCCATAGGGCATCCCATTGAGCATCCCATAGGGCACCCCATTGAGCATCCCATAGGGCACCCCATAGAGCATCCCATAGGGCATCCCATAGAGCATCCCATAGAGCATCCCATAGGGCATCCCATAGAGCATCCCATAGGGCATCCCATTGAGCATCCCATAGGGCACCCCATAGAGCATCCCATTCAGCATCCCATAGGGCACCCCATAGAGCATCCCATAGAGCATCCCATAGAGCATCCCATAGAGCATCCCATAGAGCATCCCATAGGGCATCCCATAGGGCATCCCATAGAGCATCCCATAGGGCATCCCATAGAGCATCCCATAGAGCATCCCATAGAGCATCCCATAGAGCATCCCATAGAGCATCCCATAGATCATCCCATAGAGCATCCCATAGGGCATCCCATAGAGCATCCCATAGAGCATCCCATAGGGCACCCCATGGAGCATCCCATAGAGCATCCCATGGAGCATCCCATAGGGCATCCCATTGAGCATCCCATAGGGCACCCCATAGAGCATCCCATAGGGCATCCCATTGAGCATCCCATAGAGCATCCCATAGGGCATCCCATAGGGCACCCCATAGAGCATCCCATAGAGCATCCCATAGGGCATCCCATAGGGCATCCCATAGAGCATCCCATAGAGCATCCCATAGAGCATCCCATAGGGCACCCCATGGAGCATCCCATAGAGCATCCCATAGAGCATCCCATAGAGCATCCCATAGAGCATCCCATGGAGCATCCCAATTTGGACCATCCCGTCCTTCGAGCATCCCAATTTAGAGCATCCCATCTTAGAGCATCCCAATTTGGAGCATCCCAATTTGGACCATCCCATTCTTGGACCATCCCATCCTTGGACCATCCCATCCTTAGAGCATCCCATTATAGAGCATCCCAATTTGGACCATCCCATTTTAGAGCATCCCATCCTTCCAGCATCCCAATGTAGAGCATCCCAATGGAGCATCCCATTTGGAGCATCCCATCTTAGACCATCCCATTTTGGACCATACCATCCTTAGAGCATCCCAATTTAGAGCATCCCAATTTGGACCATCCCATTATCGAGCATCCCAATTTGGAGCATCCCAATTTGGACCATCCCATTATCGAGCATCCCAATTTAGAGCATCCCAATTTGGACCATCCCATCCTTCGAGCATCCCATTCTGGACCATCCCATGCTAGAGCATCCCATCCTTAGAGCATCCCTATTTGGACCATCCCATCTTAGAGCATCCCATCCTAGAGCATCCCATCCTTCGAGCATCCCAATGGAGCATAACAATGGAGCATCCCAATTTAGAGCATCCCATTATCAAGCATCCCATCCTCAGTGCATCCCATCCTTCGAGCATCCCATCCTTGGACCATCCCAATTTAGAGCATCCCAATTTGGGCCATCCCAATTTAGAGCATCCCATCTTAGAGCATCCCAATTTAGAGCATCCCAATTTAGAGCATCCCAATTTAGAGCTTCCCATCCTTCGAGCATCCCATCTTAGAGCATCCCGGTTTGGAGCATCCCAATTTGGACCATCCCATCCTTAGAGCATCCCATCTTTGGAGCATCCCAATTTGGACCATCCCATCCTTTGGGCATCCCAATTTCGAGCATCCCAATGGAGTCATCCCAATTTAGAGCATCCCAATTTGGAGCATCCGAATTTGGACCATCCCATCCTTGGACCATCCCATCCTTAGAGCATCCCATTATAGAGCATCCCAATTTGGACCATCCCATTTTAGAGCATCCCATCCTTCCAGCATCCCAATGTAGAGCATCCCAATGGAGCATCCCATTTGGAGCATCCCATCTTAGACCATCCCATTTTGGACCATCCCATCCTTAGAGCATCCCAATTTAGACCATCCCATTTTGGACCATACCATCCTTAGAGCATCCCAATTTAGAGCATCCCAATTTAGAGCATCCCATTATCGAGCATCCCAATTTAGAGCATCCCAATGGAGCATCCCAATTTAGACCATCCCATTTTGGACCATCCCATCCTAGAGCATCCCATCCTTCGAGCATCCCAATTTAGAGCATCCCAATTTGGAGCATCCCATTTTGGACCATCCCATCCTTAGAGCATCCCATCCTTAGAGCATCCCAATTTAGAGCATCCCATTATAGAGCATCCCATCCTTACAGCATCTCATAGAGCATCCCATCTTAGAGCATCCCATCCTTCGAGCATCCCATTTTGGACCATCCCATCCTTAGAGCATCCCAATTTGCAGCATCCCAATTTGGAGCATCCCATCTTAGAGCATCCCTATTTGGACCATCCCATCCTTCGAGCATCCCAATTTAGAGCATCATAATTTAGAGCATCCCATTATCGAGCATCCCATCCTTCGAGCATCCCATTTTGGACCATCCCATCCTTTGAGCATCCCAATGGAGCATCCCAATTTAGACCATCCCAATTTGGACCATCCCATCCTAGAGCATCCCATTCTTCGAGCATCCCAATTTGGACCATCCCATCTTAGAGCATCCCAATTTAGAGCATCCCAATTTAGAGCATCCCTATTTGGACCATCCCATCCTTCGAGCATCCCAATTTAGAGCATCCCAATTTGGAGCATCCCAATTTGGACCATCCCATCCTTCGAGCATCCCAATTTAGAGCATCCCATTTTGGACCATCCCATCCTTCGAGTATCCCAATTTAGAGCATCCCAATTTGGACCATCCCATTATAGAGCATCCCATCCTTCGAGCATCCCAATTTAGAGCATCCCAATTTGGAGCATCCCAATTTGGACCATCCCAATTTAGAGCATCCCAATTTAGAGCATCCCAATTTGGACCATCCCATCCTTAGAGCATCCCAATTTAGAGCATCCCAATTTGGACCATCCCATCCTTAGAGCATCCCAATTTAGAGCATCCCAATTTAGAGCATCCCATTATCAAGCATCCCATCCTTCGAGCATCCCAATTTGGACCATCCCATCCTGGAGCATCCCATTCTTCGAGCATCCCAATTTGGACCATCCCATCTTAGAGCATCCCAAATTAGAGCATCCCAATTTGGACCATCCCATCCTTTGAGCATCCCATCCTTCGAGCATCCCAATGGAGTCATCCCAATTTAGAGCATCCCAATTTGGAGCATCCGAATTTGGACCATCCCATCCTTGGACCATCCCATCCTTAGAGCATCCCATTATAGAGCATCCCAATTTGGACCATCCCATTTTAGAGCATCCCATCCTTCCAGCATCCCAATGTAGAGCATCCCAATGGAGCATCCAATTTGGAGCATCCCATCTTAGACCATCCCATTTTGGACCATCCCATCCTTAGAGCATCCCAATTTAGAGCATCCCAATTTGGACCATCCCATCCTTCGAGCATCCCATTCTGGACCATCCCATGCTAGAGCATCCCATCCTTAGAGCATCCCTATTTGGACCATCCCATCTTAGAGCATCCCATCCTAGAGCATCCCATCCTTCGAGCATCCCAATGGAGCATAACAATGGAGCATCCCAATTTAGAGCATCCCATTATCAAGCATCCCATCCTCAGTGCATCCCATCCTTCGAGCATCCCATCCTTGGAGCATCCCAATTTAGACCATCCTATTTTGGACCATCCCAATTTAGAGCATCCCAATTTGGGCCATCCCAATTTAGAGCATCCCAATTTAGAGCATCCCATCTTAGAGCATTCCATCTTAGAGCATCCCAATTTAGAGCATCCCATTATCGAGCATCCCAATTTAGAACATCCCATCTTAGAGCATCCCTATATGGAGCATCCCATTTTGGACCATCCCATCCTTAGAGCATCCCAATTTAGAGCATCCCATTATCGAGCATCCCAATTTAGAGCATCCCAATTTGGACCATCCCAATGGACCATCCCAATGTATCCCATCCCCTTTTCCCCTCCCAATCCCAATCCCAATCCCTTTTCCCCCTCTCCCAGCCCTCCCCGGCGGTCTCCAAGCCCCCAGCGTCTCCTCGGCCAGCTCGGAGCTCAAATCCGATGAGGAAGGCGACGAGAACGCCCGCGATTCCCAACCTCTGGAAGAGCGCAAGCTGGACGACGACAAGAAGGAGCTCAAAGCCCTGCCGAGGTCAAGATCTAGGTAACGGGAATGCCGGGAAAAGGGGAGGGGGAAAACCGGGAATTCCATGGGGATGCTCCCGTTGCGTTCCATGGATCCCGTGTAGGGGCTCTCACTTCCCATTTAATGGATGCGGGAGGTTTGGGGAGCAAAGGATGAAGGTTTGGGTACCAAAGGATGCAGGTTTGGGTACCAAAGGATGCGGGAGGTTTGGGTACCAAAGGATGCAGGTTTGGGGAGCAAAGGATGCGGGAGGTTTGGGTACCAAAGGATGCGGGAGGTTTGGGTACCAAAGGATGCGGGAGGTTTGGGTACCAAAGGATGCAGGTTTGGGTACCAAAGGATGCGGGAGGTTTGGGTACCAAAGGATGCGGGAGGTTTGGGTACCAAAGGATGCGGGAGGTTTGGGTACCAAAGGATGCGGGGGGTTTGGGTACCAAAGGATGCGGGAGGTTTGGGTACCAAAGGATGCGGGAGGTTTGGGTACCAAAGGATGCAGGTTTGGGTACCGAAGGATGCAGGTTTGGGTACCAAAGGATGCGGGAGGTTTGGGGAGCAAAGGATGCTGGAGGTTTGGGTACCAAAGGATGCGGGTTTGGGTACCAAAGGATGCAGGTTTGGGGAGCAAAGGATGCAGGTTTGGGTACCAAAGGATGCGGGAGGTTTGGGGAGCAAAGGATGCGGGAGGTTTGGGTACCAAAGGATGCGGGAGGTTTGGGTACCAAAGGATGAGGGAGGTTTGGGTACCAAAGGATGCGGGAGGTTTGGGTACCAAAGGATGAGGGAGGTTTGGGGAGCAAAGGATGAGGGAGGTTTGGGGAGCAAAGGATGCAGGTTTGGGTACCAAAGGATGCGGGAGGTTTGGGGAGCAAAGGATGCGGGAGGTTTGGGTACCAAAGGATGCGGGAGGTTTGGGTACCAAAGGATGCGGGAGGTTTGGGTACCAAAGGATGCGGGAGGTTTGGGGAGCAAAGGATGCGGGAGGTTTGGGGAGCAAAGGATGCGGGAGGTTTGGGTACCAAAGGATGCGGGAGGTTTGGGTACCAAAGGATGCGGGAGGTTTGGGGAGCAAAGGATGCGGGAGGTTTGGGGAGCAAAGGATGCGGGAGGTTTGGGAACCAAAGGATGCGGGAGGTTTGGGTACCAAAGGATGCGGGAGGTTTGGGGAGCAAAGGATGCGGGAGGTTTGGGGAGCAAAGGATGCAGGAGGTTTGGGTACCAAAGGATGCTGGAGGTTTGGGTACCAAAGGATGCGGGTTTGGGTACCAAAGGATGCAGGTTTGGGGAGCAAAGGATGCAGGTTTGGGTACCAAAGGATGCGGGAGGTTTGGGTACCAAAGGATGCGGGTTTGGGGAGCAAAGGATGCAGGAGGTTTGGGTACCAAAGGATGCGGGTTTGGGTACCAAAGGATGAGGGAGGTTTGGGTACCAAAGGATGCGGGAGGTTTGGGTACCAAAGGATGAGGGAGGTTTGGGTACCAAAGGATGCAGGTTTGGGTACCAAAGGATGCAGGAGGTTTGGGTACCAAAGGATGCGGGAGGTTTGGGGAGCAAAGGATGCGGGAGGTTTGGGTACCAAAGGATGCAGGTTTGGGTACCAAAGGATGCGGGAGGTTTGGGTACCAAAGGATGCGGGAGGTTTGGGGAGCAAAGGATGCGGGAGGTTTGGGTACCAAAGGATGCGGGAGGTTTGGGTACCAAAGGATGCGGGTTTGGGTACCAAAGGATGCGGGAGGTTTGGGTACCAAAGGATGCGGGAGGTTTGGGTACCAAAGGATGCGGGAGGTTTGGGGAGCAAAGGATGCGGGAGGTTTGGGTACCAAAGGATGCGGGAGGTTTGGGTACCAAAGGATGCAGGTTTGGGTACCAAAGGATGCGGGAGGTTTGGGTACCAAAGGATGCGGGAGGTTTGGGTACCAAAGGATGCGGGTTTGGGTACCAAAGGATGCGGGAGGTTTGGGTGCCAAAGGATGCGGGAGGTTTGGGTACCAAAGGATGCGGGAGGTTTGGGGAGCAAAGGATGCGGGAGGTTTGGGTACCAAAGGATGCGGGAGGTTTGGGGAGCAAAGGATGCGGGAGGTTTGGGTACCAAAGGATGCGGGAGGTTTGGGTACCAAAGGATGCGGGAGGTTTGGGGACCAAAGGATGCGGGAGGTTTGGGTACCAAAGGATGCGGGAGGTTTGGGTACCGAAGGATGCAGGTTTGGGTACCAAAGGATGCGGGAGGTTTGGGTAGCAAAGGATGCGGGAGGTTTGGGGAGCAAAGGATGCGGGAGGTTTGGGGAGCAAAGGATGAAGGTTTGGGTACCAAAGGATGCAGGAGGTTTGGGGAGCAAAGGATGCGGGAGGTTTGGGTACCAAAGGATGCGGGAGGTTTGGGTACCAAAGGATGCGGGAGGTTTGGGGAGCAAAGGATGCGAGAGGTTTGGGTACCAAAGAATGCAGGAGGTTTGGGTACCAAAGGATGCGGGTTTGGGTACCAAAGGATGAAGGTTTGGGTACCAAAGGATGCGGGAGGTTTGGGTACCAAAGGATGCGGGAGGTTTGGGTGCCAAAGGATGCGGGAGGTTTGGGTACCAAAGGATGCGGGAGGTTTGGGGAGCGAAGGATGCGGGAGGTTTGGGTACCAAAGGATGCGGGAGGTTTGGGGAGCAAAGGATGCGGGAGGTTTGGGTAGCAAAGGATGCGGGAGGTTTGGGTACCAAAGGATGCGGGAGGTTTGGGTACCAAAGGATGCGGGAGGTTTGGGGAGCAAAGGATGCGGGAGGTTTGGGTACCAAAGGATGCGGGAGGTTTGGGTACCAAAGGATGCGGGAGGTTTGGGGAGCAAAGGATGCGGGAGGTTTGGGGAGCAAAGGATGCGGGAGGTTTGGGTACCAAAGGATGTGGGAGGTTTGGGTACCAAAGGATGCGGGAGGTTTGGGTACCAAAGGATGCGGGTTTGGGTACCAAAGGATGCGGGAGGTTTGGGTACCAAAGGATGTGGGAGGTTTGGGTACCAAAGGATGCGGGAGGTTTGGGTACCAAAGGATGCGGGTTTGGGTACCAAAGGATGCGGGAGGTTTGGGTACCAAAGGATGCGGGAGGTTTGGGTACCAAAGGATGCGGGAGGTTTGGGTACCAAAGGATGCGGGAGGTTTGGGGAGCAAAGGATGCGGGAGGTTTGGGGAGCAAAGGATGCGGGAGGTTTGGGTACCAAAGGATGCGGGAGGTTTGGGTACCAAAGGATGCGGGAGGTTTGGGTACCAAAGGATGCGGGAGGTTTGGGGAGCAAAGGATGCGGGAGGTTTGGGGAGCAAAGGATGCGGGAGGTTTGGGGAGCAAAGGATGCGGGAGGTTTGGGTACCAAAGGATGCGGGAGGTTTGGGTACCAAAGGATGCGGGAGGTTTGGGTACCAAAGGATGCAGGTTTGGGTACCAAAGGATGCGGGAGGTTTGGGAACCAAAGGATGCGGGAGGTTTGGGTACCAAAGGATGCGGGAGGTTTGGGGAGCAAAGGATGCGGGAGGTTTGGGGAGCAAAGGATGCAGGAGGTTTGGGTACCAAAGGATGCTGGAGGTTTGGGTACCAAAGGATGCGGGTTTGGGTACCAAAGGATGCAGGTTTGGGGAGCAAAGGATGCAGGTTTGGGTACCAAAGGATGCGGGAGGTTTGGGTACCAAAGGATGCGGGTTTGGGGAGCAAAGGATGCAGGAGGTTTGGGTACCAAAGGATGCGGGTTTGGGTACCAAAGGATGAGGGAGGTTTGGGTACCAAAGGATGCGGGAGGTTTGGGTACCAAAGGATGAGGGAGGTTTGGGTACCAAAGGATGCAGGTTTGGGTACCAAAGGATGCAGGAGGTTTGGGTACCAAAGGATGCGGGAGGTTTGGGGAGCAAAGGATGCGGGAGGTTTGGGTACCAAAGGATGCAGGTTTGGGTACCAAAGGATGCGGGAGGTTTGGGTACCAAAGGATGCGGGAGGTTTGGGGAGCAAAGGATGCGGGAGGTTTGGGTACCAAAGGATGCGGGAGGTTTGGGTACCAAAGGATGTGGGTTTGGGTACCAAAGGATGCGGGAGGTTTGGGTACCAAAGGATGCGGGAGGTTTGGGTACCAAAGGATGCGGGAGGTTTGGGGAGCAAAGGATGCGGGAGGTTTGGGTACCAAAGGATGCGGGAGGTTTGGGTACCAAAGGATGCAGGTTTGGGTACCAAAGGATGCGGGAGGTTTGGGTACCAAAGGATGCGGGAGGTTTGGGTACCAAAGGATGCGGGTTTGGGTACCAAAGGATGCGGGAGGTTTGGGTACCAAAGGATGCGGGAGGTTTGGGGAGCAAAGGATGCGGGAGGTTTGGGGAGCAAAGGATGCGGGAGGTTTGGGTACCAAAGGATGCGGGAGGTTTGGGGACCAAAGGATGCGGGAGGTTTGGGTACCAAAGGATGCGGGAGGTTTGGGTACCGAAGGATGCAGGTTTGGGTACCAAAGGATGCGGGAGGTTTGGGTAGCAAAGGATGCGGGAGGTTTGGGGAGCAAAGGATGCGGGAGGTTTGGGGAGCAAAGGATGAAGGTTTGGGTACCAAAGGATGCAGGAGGTTTGGGGAGCAAAGGATGCGGGAGGTTTGGGTACCAAAGGATGCGGGAGGTTTGGGTACCAAAGGATGCGGGAGGTTTGGGGAGCAAAGGATGCGAGAGGGTACCAAAGAATGCAGGAGGTTTGGGTACCAAAGGATGCGGGTTTGGGTACCAAAGGATGAAGGTTTGGGTACCAAAGGATGCGGGAGGTTTGGGTACCAAAGGATGCGGGAGGTTTGGGTGCCAAAGGATGCGGGAGGTTTGGGTACCAAAGGATGCGGGAGGTTTGGGGAGCGAAGGATGCGGGAGGTTTGGGTACCAAAGGATGCAGGAGGTTTGGGTACCAAAGGATGCGGGAGGTTTGGGGAGCAAAGGATGCGGGAGGTTTGGGGAGCAAAGGATGCGGGAGGTTTGGGTACCAAAGGATGCGGGAGGTTTGGGGAGCAAAGGATGCGGGAGGTTTGGGGAGCAAAGGATGCGGGAGGTTTGGGGAGGGATGCGGGAGGTTTGGGTACCAAAGGGGGTGTGGGAGGTTTGGGTACCAAAGGATGCGGGAGGTTTGGGTACCAAAGGATGCGGGTTTGGGTACCAAAGGATGCGGGAGGTTTGGGTACCAAAGGATGTGGGAGGTTTGGGTACCAAAGGATGCGGGAGGTTTGGGTACCAAAGGATGCGGGTTTGGGTACCAAAGGATGCGGGAGGTTTGGGTACCAAAGGATGCGGGTTTGGGTACCAAAGGATGCGGGAGGTTTGGGTACCAAAGGATGCAGGAGGTTTGGGGAGCAAAGGATGCAGGAGGTTTGGGGAGCAAAGGATGCGGGAGGTTTGGGTACCAAAGGATGCAGGAGGTTTGGGTACCAAAGGATGCGGGAGGTTTGGGGAGCAAAGGATGCAGGTGGTTTGGGTACCAAAGGATGCGGGAGGTTTGGGGAGGAAAGGATGCGGGAGGTTTGGGGAGCAAAGGATGCGGGAGGTTTGGGGAGCAAAGGATGCGGGAGGTTTGGGTACCAAAGGATGCGGGAGGTTTGGGTACCAAAGGATGCGGGAGGTTTGGGGAGCAAAGGATGGGGGAGGTTTGGGTACCAAAGGATGCAGGTTTGGGTACCAAAGGATGCGGGAGGTTTGGGGAGCAAAGGATGCGGGAGGTTTGGGTACCAAAGGATGAAGGTTTGGGTACCAAAGGATGCGGGAGGTTTGGGTACCAAAGGATGCGGGAGGTTTGGGTACCAAAGGATGCGGGAGGTTAGGGTACCAAAGGATGCGGGTTTGGGTACCAAAGGATGCGGGAGGTTTGGGGAACAAAGGATGCGGGAGGTTTGGGTACCAAAGGATGCGGGAGGTTTGGGTACCAAAGGATGCGGGAGGTTTGGGTACCAAAGGATGCGGGAGGTTTGGGTACCAAAGGATGCGGGTTTGGGTACCAAAGGATGCGGGAGGTTTGGGTACCAAAGGATGTGGGAGGTTTGGGTACCAAAGGATGCGGGAGGTTTGGGTACCAAAGGATGCGGGTTTGGGTACCAAAGGATGCGGGAGGTTTGGGTACCAAAGGATGCGGGAGGTTTGGGGAGCAAAGGATGCGGGAGGTTTGGGTACCAAAGGATGCGGGAGGTTTGGGTACCAAAGGATGCGGGAGGTTTGGGGACCAAAGGATGTAGGAGGTTTGGGTTCCGAAGGATGCAGGTTTGGGTACCAAAGGATGCGGGAGGTTTGGGTAGCAAAGGATGCGGGAGGTTTGGGGAGCAAAGGATGCGGGAGGTTTGGGGAGCAAAGGATGAAGGTTTGGGTACCAAAGGATGCAGGAGGTTTGGGGAGCAAAGGATGCGGGAGGTTTGGGTACCAAAGAATGCGGGAGGTTTGGGTACCAAAGGATGCAGGGGGTTTGGGTACCAAAGGATGCGGGAGGTTTGGGGAGCAAAGGATGCGGGAGGTTTGGGTACCAAAGGATGCGGGAGGTTTGGGTACCAAAGGATGCAGGAGGTTTGGGTACCGAAGGATGCGGGAGGTTTGGGGAGCAAAGGATGCGGGATCCCAATGGGATCCTTGCTCTATGGGGCAGGAGAATGGGGTCAATGGGTGATGCCCCATTCCCAATGGGTTCCTCTCTCCATGGAGACCCTTGAATGGAGTCAATGGGAGATGCCCCATTCCGAATGGATTCCTCTCTCCATGGAGACCCTTGAATGGAGTCAATGGAAGATGCCCCATTGGAACCTCCATTGGAAGCCCCTTGAATGGAGTCAATGGGAGATGCCCCATTCCCAATGGGTTCTTCTCTCCATGGAGCCCCTTGAAAATGGAGTCAATGGGAGATGCCCCATTCCCAATGGGTTCCTCTCTCCATGGAGACCATTGAATGGAGTCAATGGGTGATGCCCCATTCCCAATGGGTTCCTTGCTCCATGGTGGCATCAGAATGGAGTCAATGGAAGATGCCCCATTCCCAATGGGTTCCTTGCTCCATGGTGGCATCAGAATGGAGTCAATGGGAGATGCCCCATTCCCAATGGGTTCCTCTCTCCATGGAGCCCCTTGAATGGAGTCAATGGAAGATGCCCCATTCCCAATGGGTTCCTCTCTCCATGGAGACATCAGAATGGAGTCAATGGGAGATGCCCCATTGGAACCTCCATTGGAATCCCCTTTGTGTGTCCCCGTGTCCCCCCCCCAAACCCACCATTGCAGCACCAACGACGACGAGGACCTGACCCCGGAGCAGAAAGCCGAGCGGGAGAAGGAACGGCGCATGGCCAACAACGCCCGCGAGCGCCTCCGCGTGCGGGACATCAACGAGGCCTTCAAGGAGCTGGGCCGCATGGTGCAGCTGCATCTCAAGAGCGACAAGCCCCAAACCAAGCTGCTCATCCTGCACCAGGCCGTGGCCGTCATCCTCAGCCTGGAGCAGCAAGTGAGGGGTGAGTTGGGTTGGGTTGGGTTGGGTTGAGTTGCGTTGAGTTGGGTTGGGTTGGGTTGGGTTGAATTGGGTTGAGTTGGGTTGGGTTGGGTTGAGTTGGGTTGGGTTGGGTTGGGGTGGGTTGGGTTGGGTTGGGTTGAGTTGGGTTGGGTTGGGTTGGGGTGGGTTGGGTTGGGTTCGGTTGGGTTGAGTTGTTGGGTTGGGTTGGGTTGGGTTGAGTTGGGTTGGGTTGGGTTGAGTTCGGTTGGGTTGAGTTGTTGGGTTGGGTTGGGTTGGTTGGGTTGGGTTGAGTTGGGTTGGGTTGAGTTGGGTTGGGTTGGGTTGGGGTGGGTTGGGTTGGGTTGAGTTCGGTTGGGTTGAGTTGTTGGGTTGGGTTGGTTGGGTTGGGTTGAGTTTGTGTTGGTTTTGGGGGGTTTGGGTTGGGTTTGGGGGGTTTGGGGTGGGTTGTGTTGAGTTGGGTTGAGTTGGGTTGGGCTGAGTTGGGTTGGGATGGGTTGGGTTGGTTGGGATGGGTTGAGTTGGGTTGGGTTGAGTTGGGTTGGGTTGGGTTGAGTTGGGTTGAGTTGGGTTGGGTTGAGTTGGGATGGGTTGGGTTGAGTTGGGTTGAGTTGGGTTGGGTTGAGTTGGGTTGGGTTGGTTGCGTTGAGTTGGGTTGGGTTGAGTTGGGTTGGGTTGGGTTGGGTTGGGTTGAGTTGGGTTGGGTTGGGTTGAGTTGGGTTGGGTTGGGTTGAGTTGGGTTGGGTTGAGTTGGGTTGAGTTGGGTTGAGTTGGGTTGAGTAGGGTTGGGTTGAGTTGGGTTGGGTTGGTTGAGTTGGGGTGGGTTGATTGGGTTGAGTTGGGTTGGGTTGGGTTGGGTTGAGTTGGGTTGGGTTGGGTTGGGGGGGGTTGAGTTGGGTTGGGTTGGGTTGAGTTGGGGTGGGTTGAGTTGGGTTGGGTTGGGTTGAGTTGGGTTGGGTTGGGTTGGGTTGGGTGGGTTGGGTTGGGTTGGGTTGGGGTGGGGTGGGTTGGGTTGAGTTGGGTTGGGTTGGGTTGGGTTGAGTTGGGTTGGGTTGGGTTGGTTGCGTTGAGTTGGGTTGGGTTGGGTTGAGTTGGGTTGAGTTGGGTTGGGTTGGGTTGAGTTGGGTTGGGTTGGGTTGGGTTAGGTTGGGATGGGTTGGGATGGGTTGGGTTGGGTTGAGTTGGGTTGGGTTGAGTTGGGTTGGGTTGGGTTGGGTTGGGTTGCGTTGAGTTGGGTTGAGTTGGGTTGGGTTGAGTTGGGTTGGGTTGGGATGGGTTGAGGGGTTGGGTTGGGTTGGCTTGGGTTGGGTTGGGTTGGGTTGAGTTGGGTTGGGTTGGGTTGAGTTGGGTTGGGTTGGGATGGGTTGAGGGGTTGGGTTGGGTTGGCTTGGGTTGGGTTGGGTTGGGTTGAGTTGGGTTGGGTTGGGTTGAGTTGGGTTGAGTTGAGTTGGGTTGGGTTGGGTTGGGTTGAGTTGGGGTGGTTGGGTTGGGTTGGGTTGAGTTGGGTTGGGTTGGGTTGGGTTGGGTTGGCTTGGGTTGGGTTGGGTTGGGTTGGGTTGAGTTGGGTTGGGTTGGGTTGAGTTGGGTTGGGTTGGGTTGGGTTGAGTTGGGTTGGGTTGGGTTGAGTTGGGTTGGGTTGAGTTGGGTTGGGTTGAGTTGGGTTGAGTTGGATTGGGTTGGGTTGGGGGGGGTTCGTTGATGGGTGGATGTTGGTTGTCTGTTGTCCAGCATCAGGCATTCATCATGCATCATCATCCATCCATTCATCATCCATCATGCATCCATGATCCATCTGTGATCTTCCATTCATCTTCCATTCATCCATTCATCATCATCCCTTATCCATCCATCCATCATCCATCCATCATCAGCCATTCATCATCCATCATCTATCATCCATCCATCCCTTATCATCCCTTATCCAGCATCCATCCATCATCATCTCTTACCCATCATCCTTCCATCATCCTTCCATCGTCCATCATCATCTGTTATCATCCATCATCCCTCTTTTATCATCCATCACCATCCGTCTTCCATTCATCCATCATCATCCGTGACTCATCATCATCCATCCATCCATCCATTCTAATCCATCCCCCATCCATCATCATCCAACATCATCCATCCATCATCATCCATCCATCATCCATCCATCATCATCCCTTATCCATCATCCATCCATCATCCATCCATCATCATCCATCCATCATCCATCCATCCATCCATCCATCATCCACCATCCATCCATCATCCATCCATCATCCATCATCCATCCATCACCATCCATCCATCATCATCCATCCATCATCATCCCTTATCCATCATCCATCCCTTATCCACCATCCATCATCATCCCTTATCCATCATCATCCATCCATCATCATCCATCCATCACCCATCCATCATCCATCCATCATCATCCATCCATCAGCATCCATCATCCATCCATCATCATCAATCATCCATCGTCATCAATCATCCATCGTCATCCATCATCATCCTTCCATCATCATCCATCCATCATCATCCATCCATCATCCATCATCCATCCATCATCCATCATCATCCATCATCATCCATCCATCATCCATCCATCACCATCCATCCATCATCATCCATCCATCATCCATCCATCCATCCATCATCCATCCATCATCCATCATCCATCCATCCATCATCCATCCTTTATCCACCATCCATCCATCATCATCATCATCATCATCCATCCATCAGCACCCATCCATCATCATCCATCATCCATCATCCATCCATCCCTTCTCCATCCATCCATCATCCATCATCATCCCTTATCCACCATCCATACATCATCATCCCTTATCCATCATCATCTATCCATCATCCATCCACCCATCCATCATCCATCCACCATCCATCCATCATCCATCCATCATCATCCACCATCCATCATCCATCATCATCCATCATCCATCATCATCCATCATCCATCCCTCATCCATCATCCATTCATCATCATCCCTTATCCATCATCCATCCATCCATCATCCATCCATCATCATCCATCCATCATCCATCCATCATCATCCATCCATCATCCACCATCCATCATCCATCATCATCCATCCATCATCCATCCATCATCATGCATCCATCCATCATCCATCCATCATCATCCATCCATCATCATCCATCCATCATCATCCATCATCATCATCCATCCATCATCCATCATCATCCATCATCCATCATCCCTCATCCATCCCCCCCCCATCCCACCCTTATGCCCCCCCGATGCAGAGATGCCTTTGACCCCCCTTTTCTCCCTCCATCCCACCAGAGAGGAACCTGAACCCCAAGGCGGCGTGCCTGAAGAGACGGGAAGAAGAGAAGGTCTCCTCGGATCCGCCTCCGCTCTCCTTGCCCGGGCCCCATCCCGGCATGGGAGACGCTGCCAATCACATGGGACAGATGTAAAAAGGCAAGGTTGGGGGGCGGGTATCCCTGTTTCCATGCGTGTGTGCGTCAGCATCCAGCATCCATCAGCATCCATCCATCCATCAGTGTCCATCATCCATCCATCATCATCATCCATCATCCATCAGCATCCATCCATCAGCATCCATCATCAGCATCCATCAGCATCCATCCATCAGCATCCATCAGTATCCATCCATCAGCATCCATCATCATCCATCATCATCCATCATCCATCATCATCCATCCATCATCATCATCATCATCACCATCATCCATCATTATCATCATCATCGTCCATCCATCATCATCCATCCATCATCCATCCATCATCATCCATCCATCATCCATCCATCATCATCCATCCATCAGCATCCATCAGCATCCATCCATCATCCATCCATCAGCATCCATCCATCAGTGTCCATCATCCATCATCCATCCATCATCCATCCATCATCCATCCATCATCATCCATCCATCATCCATCCATCAGCATCCATCATCATCCATCATCATCAGCATCCATCCATCATCATCCATCATCCATCCATCATCATCCATCATCCATCCATCATCCATCCATCATCATCCATCCATCATCCATCCATCAGCATCCATCATCATCCATCATCATCAGCATCCATCCATCATCATCCATCATCATCCATCATCCATCCATCATTCATCCATCATCCATCCATCCATCATCATCCATCATCATCAGCATCCATCCATCATCATCCATCCATCATCATCCATCCATCCATCATCCATCCATCATCCATCATCATCCATCCATCATCATCCATCCATCATCCATCCATCAGCATCCATCATCATCCATCATCATCAGCATCCATCCATCATCATCCATCATCATCCATCCATCATCCATCCATCATCCATCCATCATCCATCCATCATCATCCATCATCATCCATCCATCATCCATCCATCATCCATCCATCATCCATCCATCATCCATCCATCATCCATCCATCATCCATCATCCATCATCATCTATCATCCATCCATCATCCATCCATCATCCATCCATCATCATCATCCATCAGCATCCATCAGCATCCATCATCATCCATCCATCATCATCCATCCATCATCATCCATCATCATCATCCATCATCCATCATCAGCATCCATCATCATCCATCCATCATCATCCATCCATCATCATCCATCCATCATCCATCATCATCAATCATCCATCATCATCCATCAGCATCCATCATCATCCATCATCATCCATCATCCATCCATCCATCATCATCCATCATCCATCCATCATCCATCATCCATCATCATCATCATCATCATCCATCCATCATCATCATCATCATCATCATCCCCCCTTTCTCTCTCCCCCCTAACCCCTTCCCTTCTCCCCTAGGTCCACCTTGCCCCACAGAAGCAAGAACCCACTTCCTTAAGAGCTGTATCCCCCCATCCCCTGCCCCACATCTGCCCCCCAGCCCCACGGACGCCCGCCGGGCCGGCATTCCCGACGCCTGGAATGCCGACGCTCCTGCCCCACGGCGCGAGACTTTGCCTATGGGTCAGACGAGGAGATGTGGGTCCCCCTGCCCCACACATCCCCCTGACCCCCAACTTCCCCCCCCCCCCCCTTAACCTTAATGCAGCTCTCTTCTTTGCGTTGTGCCTCAAATCCCAGAGCATTCCGGGCTGGAAAAAGAATGGAAAAAAGTGGGGGGGGGGTTGTGGGGTGAAAAAAATTTGGGAATATTCCATGGGAATTGGGGGAGGGGGGGGGGAAACACAAAAAAAAGATGGAAAACCCTTGGAATTTTGCAATAATGAGCAAGTGTACTTCAAATAACCCCCCCCCCTCCATCCGAAATTCCCAATTCCTTGGATCCGGAGCATCCTTCCCCTAATCCCATTGGATGCTGCAGGCAAAGAGGCTTGGAATACCGGGATCACCCCATGGATCGGGAATGCTGGGCTCCTCCGTGCCCCCCCCACTCTGTTTTCCATAGGGAAAAGGGGCATTTTCCATGCTTTCCATGGGGGGGGGGGGGGGATATCCCAACTTTTCCCTTCTCTCCCCCCTTTTCTTGGGAATGGATCCCATGGGATTTAAGGTGTTCCCCCCCCCCTCTAATCCCTATCCCAACCTTAACCACTGTGCCTTCCGCTGTCCCCATTGAAGGAGGAAGAGGAGGGGGATGCTGCTGCCAGCATTCCCATTGGGATCAAGGGAAAACCTTGGGAATACCGGATGGGATTTGGGGTTAGGGCCCCCCTTCCTCCTTCCTCTTCCTCTCCGAGCCTTAGCTGCGTCCCTTGCACTCAATGGGAAAAGGGGAGGGGGGGAAAACAGCATTCCCGAGCTCTGGAATCATCGCATCCCGGCATTCCCAACGGTTTCCATTGCCTGCTGGGCATTGGGATTGGGAATGGGATTGGGTTTGCGTCCCCAAACCCCTTGGAACGCCGCCGGCATCCAATGGGAAGCCAAGAGCTCCATCCCCATCCAACCTTTTCCAAGAGGGAATTCCATGGGAAAACACCCGGGATGAGCCTGAAGGAGAGCCCTCAAGAGGGCTAGGACCCAGCATCCCTTGGGATGCATTCCAGGATGGACCGGGAATCAATCAGTGCATCCCACTCCTATTGGCTGAGCGCTAGGACCCAGCATCCCTTGGGATGCATTCCAGGATGGACCAGGAATCAATCAGTGCTTCCCACTCCTATTGGCTGAGCGCTAGGACCCAGCATCCCTTGGGATGCATTCCGGGATGGATTGGGAATCAATCAGTGCATCCCACTCCTATTGGCTGAGGGCTAGGACCCAGCATCCCTTGGGATGCGCTGTGGGATGGATCGGGAATCAATCAGTGCATCCCACTCCTATTGGCTGAGCGCTAGGACCCAGCATCCCTTGGGATGCGCTCTGGGATGGATTGGGAATCAATCAGTGCATCCCACTCCTATTGGCTGAGGGCTAGGACCCAGCATCCCTTGGGATGCATTCCAGGATGGATTGGGAATCAATCAGTGCATCCCACTCCTATTGGCTGAGGGCTAGGACCCAGCATCCCTTGGGATGCGCTCTGGGATGGATTGGGAATCAATCAGTGCTTCCCACTCCTATTGGCTGAGCGCTAGGACCCAGCATCCCTTGGGATGCATTCCAGGATGGATTGGGAATCAATCAGTGCTTCCCACTCCTATTGGCTGAGCGCTAGGACCCAGCATCCCTTGGGATGCATTCCGGGATGGATTGGGAATCAATCAGTGCTTCCCACTCCTATTGGCTGAGGGCTAGGACCCAGCATCCCTTGGGATGCATTCCAAGATGGACCAGGAATCAATCAGTGCTTCCCACTCCTATTGGCTGAGGGCTAGGACCCAGCATCCCTTGGGATGCATTCCGGGATGGATTGGGAATCAATCAGTGCTTCCCACTCCTATTGGCTGAGGGCTAGGACCCAGCATCCCTTGGGATGCGCTGTGGGATGGATCGGGAATCAATCAGTGCATCCCACTCCTATTGGCTGAGCGCTAGGACCCAGCATCCCTTGGGATGCATTCCAGGATGGATTGGGAATCAATCAGTGCTTCCCACTCCTATTGGCTGAGGGCTAGGACCCAGCATCCCTTGGGATGCATTCCAGGATGGATTGGGAATCAATCAGTGCATCCCACTCCTATTGGCTGAGCGCTAGGACCCAGCATCCCTTGGGATGCATTCCAGGATGGACCAGGAATCAATCAGTGCTTCCCACTCCTATTGGCTGAGCGCTAGGACCCAGCATCCCTTGGGATGCATTCCGGGATGGATTGGGAATCAATCAGTGCATCCCACTCCTATTGGCTGAGGGCTAGGACCCAGCATCCCTTGGGATGCGCTGTGGGATGGATCGGGAATCAATCAGTGCATCCCACTCCTATTGGCTGAGCGCTAGGACCCAGCATCCCTTGGGATGCGCTCTGGGATGGATTGGGAATCAATCAGTGCATCCCACTCCTATTGGCTGAGGGCTAGGACCCAGCATCCCTTGGGATGCATTCCAGGATGGATTGGGAATCAATCAGTGCATCCCACTCCTATTGGCTGAGGGCTAGGACCCAGCATCCCTTGGGATGCATTCCAGGATGGATTGGGAATCAATCAGTGCATCCCACTCCTATTGGCTGAGGGCTAGGACCCAGCATCCCTTGGGATGCGCTCTGGGATGGATTGGGAATCAATCAGTGCTTCCCACTCCTATTGGCTGAGCGCTAGGACCCAGCATCCCTTGGGATGCATTCCAGGATGGATTGGGAATCAATCAGTGCTTCCCACTCCTATTGGCTGAGCGCTAGGACCCAGCATCCCTTGGGATGCATTCCGGGATGGATTGGGAATCAATCAGTGCTTCCCACTCCTATTGGCTGAGGGCTAGGACCCAGCATCCCTTGGGATGCATTCCAAGATGGACCAGGAATCAATCAGTGCTTCCCACTCCTATTGGCTGAGGGCTAGGACCCAGCATCCCTTGGGATGCATTCCGGGATGGATTGGGAATCAATCAGTGCTTCCCACTCCTATTGGCTGAGGGCTAGGACCCAGCATCCCTTGGGATGCGCTGTGGGATGGATCGGGAATCAATCAGTGCATCCCACTCCTATTGGCTGAGCGCTAGGACCCAGCATCCCTTGGGATGCATTCCAGGATGGATTGGGAATCAATCAGTGCTTCCCACTCCTATTGGCTGAGGGCTAGGACCCAGCATCCCTTGGGATGCATTCCAGGATGGATTGGGAATCAATCAGTGCATCCCACTCCTATTGGCTGAGCGCTAGGACCCAGCATCCCTTGGGATGCGCTGTGGGATGGATTGGGAATCAATCAGTGCTTCCCACTCCTATTGGCTGAGGGCTAGGACCCAGCATCCCTTGGGATGCGCTTTGGGATGGACCGAGATCAATCAGTGCTTCCCACTCCTATTGGCTGAGGGATAGGACCCAGCATCCCTTGGGATGCA